TGCAACGATCGCCATTCGATCGGCGAAAATTCTGCAAATTCCAATCGGAGTCGCGAGCTTATCCGCTAACATAATCTGAGAAGATTTTATCCACGGGAATATTATATAAAAGTATACCCGAGAAGAGAGACGAAAGCACGTAGAATTCTATCCCGTCTCCACGTCCTTTTCAATCATGGATTCCTTTACCGAAGGGTTTCTCCCTTGACTGTGTAATGGTAGCGGTGAAGAAAAGAAAAGTAATAACCTCGTGAAAGATTCACGCGTCAATTCACGCGAACGTGTCGTTATCAGCAGCGAAATTCTTTATTTATCTTTCTTTTGTATCTCTCTCTCTCTCTCTCTCTGTCTCCTTCTGTGTTGCGGTCTTTCTTTTCCGGATTAAACGAAAAAGTCGGATATCGCGAATGCGGGTGCTTCGGTGTACCAACGGTATAAATAACGGCCGGTTTGTACCAAACCGTCAGCTCGGTTTCACGTAGCGAAATGCACGCTGCAATTGTCGTCACATTGTTCATTTCTTACGCGCCTTTATCAAAAATACCACCTTCGGGAAAGATAAAATAGCGCGAAGCAAACAGGGAGGTTCGATCGTCGCGCGTGCGGTTTGTAACTGTAATAACAGATAAAAAAATATCCTCGAATAAATGTCCGAGCTATTGTGTATAAATTTATACACGTGTATGCAGGTGCGAGTGCCTGCTGGCACTACGAATGTTGAAACGACGAATTTTGAAACAGACGCGCGATAAAATTATCAAGCCATCGGCACGCAACATTATTATACGCAACATGAAAAAACATGCGATTCGCGAAGCGATGAATATTCTTCGGGGGAAAAACCATTTCGTTAAATCGCGAGCAATTTCCCCGCAAATATTCTCGTGGTCCATTTACACCACCCGTGAGTGTAAAATATTTTGCTTTACACTCGTGGTGAACCAATTAAAACCGTCCGAGTGAGCCCTTCAACGAGGTGCCGAATGGACAGCACGATAAATCGTTAAAATGAGAGAGAAAAATGTATGTGGCTGTGATGTGCTGTATAATACGCGATATTCATGCGGCAAACGTGATCATAAAGAAATTGTGACATTCGTTCGTCATTCAAAAATCAATCGGATCCGAAAAAAGAATCGTGATCATCTCAAAGAGCACACCAATTCAGGAGAAGATCAAATCAACTTTATTTCGACGTCATGAGAATCAAAATAATGATTTTTGATTATTAAATTTGACTGTTTATTGGCATTGAGAATGAAAATTAAGTTATTTTGATTTTTATTCATTTTTATGTGTTTTCTCGGAATGCCACACACGTTTGGTGATTTCGACGAACGGTTCACAATCGTCCACGATTGTGCGATCGTTTGGCACCAGCAGCCGCACGTAATTAAACGTCAATGGTCAGATTCGAGGCCTGGATCCTAAACGCTCTTGAAAGCGATTCGCCATTCATTCGTTGGATCGATCAAACGCGCGCGCTAATTGCCCTCCCGGAGAGGTGGATACATTAAGTGTTATCAATTAAGAGACCCGGCCAAAGCGCGATTGTCGCGGGCAATTAATCCCCGTCATTTCCGATGTCGTTTCCGATGGCTCGCGATGGATGATGAGTCAGCAGCGTCGCGACATCGAGCGTTTCGGTAACACGGCGTCGCCGTCCAAAAACCTCCACCATTCATTCGGAGATAATGGACCATCGGATCCGTCGAGAGTATTTTTCGTCATTGTTTGTCGCGACGGGGACAAAATAGTCGGAAAACGAAAGGAATAACGTGTTATTGGCAGTCGAATCTGACGGAGTGTTTTTTAACCGTTCGAAGTCCATTAAACTTACCTTTGTCGTCGATTATTTCTAGACATTGTTAAACAGGACTATTGTTAACTTTAATTGCTATTTTACTTCGTATATATAAATACAGAGCAAAAGGGTTCCTGCTGTATAGTAATATAAGCCCCATTTAAAATTCTGTTACAATTAACACTTCTTGTAAAAAGGTTTTTACTTGTTCTTAATCTGTTTCATAATTAATCTATCAATGTAGATTAACTTTAATCTTGGTTCACTTTTTATCCTTTTTTAGTTCTAAGAATTAGAAATGGATAAAGAGTAAATTAAACTGAAATTAATCTACATTAGTAGAAATGGACATTAAATAAATATTGCGAACTCCGGGATTTTTAACGAAAAACATTACATTGTTTTTTGTTAAAAATTCTAGGGCTCGTATTATATAATTCATTTGATAGACGGCCTAATGTAAAATTGTTGACACATTTAATATCTTAGCAAAAATATAAGAAGTTAAGAAGAGTAACATCTTAAGAATTAATTTAAGATATAAACTTGCTAATTACATTTTGAACCACATTAAACTTGACATTAAAAATATGACATACGAAGAAACTTTGATACAATTTTGTTAAAAATCTTTGCGGTTATCACCTTAAAATAATTTTAAGAAATCTCTGTATCAGTAATAAGCAGAAAAGAGGTGCTCGTTCTGTTCGTGATAAACATTCATGAGTTGACAGACTCAACGCAAGAGTATCGTTAGGAAAATGTGTTCATGAAAAGAAACTTTTGAATCGGATATCTCTATACGTTCAGATTTAAACTTTGAATTAAAGCAATTTGGATTTCGTGAAAGTTCAAATAGACCTGAAGAAAGCAGATTCTGTAAAAATATATAGAATCTACTTTACCATCACATTCAAATAGACGCATCATAGTCCTGTCATTTAAATAATTTTGTCCCACTGTTGTTTTAATTCAATCATTTCAAATATATTTTACATTAAACTTAAATTAATTATTATTTACAATATATGTATATATCATTCACTTGAACATAATTTTAAAAAATTACACAGAAAATAATAGAATGAAGGTTCACATTTCATCTATCCCATCTATTCCATCTTTTCCTCCAATATTTTTATCTAAAAGTAAAATTATGTAATTTTTTGTTATGTTATTTATGTTGCTTTATCATTTTGTTATCATTGTTTCGCTGGTTTTCAAACAACTTGAATTCTTCTCTCGTAAGAATTCAAATTATCTGAAAAATAAGGAACGCGCCATGGAATTTTCGCGGAAGTCCGATAATGTCCTACTATTTAAGCACGAGACCCTCTTCACCGGGTGGACCTCGAAAGGACTCGGAGTTCCAAGCTACCATCTTCGGCTGTGCTTTAACGATCTATTAATATTAAGCAGGTGTAAATAGCCTCGCCGACAGGTACAGAGCCTTTCTACCATCTCTAAGCAGTAATGAAAAGCAGTGTCCGTGCACCATCCCCATGATCCCCATTCTCGTTCGAAGCAGCAGAGAGGAACGTTTTCATTACGCCGCCACTGCAGTTACCTTTTTCTCTCGAAATGAAATTTTTATTCAAACCAAGCAAAACTTCTTTCTTTACTCATACAGAACAGAAGATTGCGGCAACATTGCTGCAACATCTTTAATGTTAATGAAATATCGCTGGAATGTTGCTGCAATATTGTTGAAACGATTTGTGCCGTATTGGTTTATACATAATTTGTGATATCGTGTGCTACTAACTCGCAGCCTCTAATTGTATAATTATAGATTTCTAAATTAATTAATAAATCTTAGTATTAATGATAAATCAATAATTTTTGAATTTTAATCTTCTACAGGTTCTACATCCTTCGATGGAAGGTTCATTTTCGTCGACGGAAAAATAACATCAATAATAATACATAATTGTAGGATCGAAGGAGGGGGGGATGTAATGAGCTATTATTAAATGCGAAACATAAATCATTGGGACTCACCAATAGCGGTGCATACCCCTATAATCCTTGTCATCATCGATAGATGATGCACGTCGCTCGGCCTTTCGTAAGTAGACATATCGCCGATGGGATCCTTCACGAGGTCCTTTGTCTGCGTTATCATGGGACGTCCAATAGATCCGCACGTTTATATGCCTTTTAACAAAAATCCTGGAGGATTATGTCACTCGTAATTACTTGAAAGATATTTTTCTAAAAATGTTTTTATAACTATAATTTGAGCAGTTATCTCTTCAAGAGCTTATTAAACGTTACTCTTTGTAACTTTTAAAGTAAATCTCTTTCTAAAGAGTGAAATCTCACCCTTAAAGATTAAAAATTAATCCACTCTTTATCAAGATTGATTCAAATTTCACCTTTTAGAATGAGATTCCATTCCAAAGAATTTAAAGAGTAATCAAATGATATATATTATCCCCCAAAAAATATGTGACATTTACTTCCTATATTGAAAGCAAATTATCTTATAAAAAACATTTTGTTTGAAAATTTAAATTCTAATCAGTGAATGGTTACTTTTTCTCAATTCGATGATATGAACTCGCTTGCAAATAAATTCTGCAGCAGTCGTTCTCGGATCAAAAAACCTGCGTTAAACTCTCTGTAAAACTTTCTTTGTCTTTTTATTCTTTCCTTCGTCACAGCGCGATCCGATGGTGTTGCGTTATTTTGAATTTTCTCTCGACATTTCTACCGAAACTTTTCACCGGTCGTTAAAGCATCCTCCACTGTTGCAAGCTCACGCGAAACTAAACGCGTCGCGACCGCCGAAGAGGGAAAAACGCCGAACTTGCGCAAATGCTGCCTCTGTTCGAATTTCCTGCGGCTCCGTACCACGTGTCCCTCGAGGCGATATTACAAGAACATGTGGGATTATAATTTTACAAAGGTTCGCGCATTTACCAGGTGTAACCTTTGCTATTTTATATTGTCTCTATATACACGCACATACTCTCCTGCATATTTTTAATCTTAATGTCACATAACATAACAAGCAAAAAGTAACGACCTCATTTTATATTTACGATATAACATATATATGGAACACTATTATATTTCATTTTTAATTGTCGGATTTCTTTAGATGGAACCGAATTTTAGGATTAGAACACAACGCGAGATAAGTAAGGCGATATAATATTTGTCCAACAACAAAAATTATTATAATATTTATTCACATACAATAAATTTTTATAATTGTGCGGTATACAAAAATATATCCACTCGCGATAAGCGTGTAGAATACTTGAACAACACGGACACTTGGTGAGGTAGAAACAGTATTATCTACAAAATAACGATATGTATTTAAAATAAAATGCCGTCGCGCATATGCGACGATCATCTTTCGTAAATACTTTACATTAAGTTTGTTCGCGTTGCTTAAAATCTCCCAAAATTTTTGTACTTAAGACGAGATAAATATATAATTCGGGCGTTGAAAAGAGAGAAAGCGGAAATTCTGAAAAAGATTCTTATAAAAAGTGCAAGCAACGCGAACAGACCTACTGACGCGCGCAGTAAATATATAGTGAAGCATTATCCTGCTTGCAAAACTGAACGCGTTAAAGCATTTTGTACTTCTAGGCTTCTTTGCAGTTACATACAGGATACACGTGTCTGACATTTTTGAAAAATATATTTCTTGCATGCAAATATTCAAAGCGCTTCTGACTTCATCAAGTTAAGCTTTTTCTCAAAGTCTTTCCTTTGTTTGAGTTTTCTTCTTCTTATTCTTGGCCACTTTGGGACTGTAATCCCAGTTGGGAATGATATGCTTCCCTTGAATCTCTAAAAAATTAATGCTACAATCGCGAGTTAAATGGGCGGATTTTGGTATCATGGGACGAGAAATCGGGCTCAATGATTTTCTGTTACAGTGCTGGACAGCAGGCGATGGTGCCAATGATCTGAAATTTATAATTCGAATTATTTTTCGCTCTTAAATTTCCCGACTATTTAAAGATCAAAGAAATGTTTGAACTGCGACTAATGCACCTATTTTTGCTGTTAGGAAGTTTCGAAGTGTCTAGGGGAGCAAGTCGGATATTTTTCGGCCAAACAGTAGGAGAGACAGAAGCTTGCCAGGCGGAATGAATATTCGGATTTCTCAAGAAGGCACCCGACTTTTTCGCAAAACTTTGGAAGCCAATGTTTCGAGATAATCCTAAAATATTAACAATTTTGGTTTGCATTAATATCAATTAATCAATTGATACTGAAATAACTAACAATATTAGCTACCTTGAGCGGAAGAGATTTCCAAATCCTCGTTCATAAATTTAATCGGAATGGTCTTTACAGTAGAGAAGCTTTCTCGGGTAGACACTGTAAAGGGCACAGGGCTTACAACAATCCTCTCATTAAAAATAGTGCCAAGTTTATTTCTGCCTATATGTGGCGTACAGCAGAGATCGATTTCCTTGATTTCCTAGAAATCAAGTACACATTAAGTAACAACAAGTCTGCATTATTTTACTTTCTTTTAATCTTACTTCTGGATTCCTTGAAGATTTGCATCGTTCTTTATTGTCTGAAGGGAACTTTCCGTATCCAGCAATCGATTCCTTATACTTATAGATTTGTTCTCAATGTAATTAGGCGAGATTGCTTCCTCTGTCCAATTTGCTTTTGAATTTTTTGACGAATTTCTACCGTGAACAGGAGCGGGAGCTATCCTTAGGGCGTCAGTCAAATCGTCGTGCAAAGAATCTGTTTCATCCTTCTCGTTAGGAAAAAGCTCCGAGATTACATATTCCATCATCATGTCGAGAACATCTTCGAACTTTGCCTTATTCAATTTGTATTGCATAGAATCCTCTCCTTCCTATAAATGAGATATGAGTAATAAATAAATAATATAAATATTTTTATATATAAGTATATTAGGTGTAATAAAAAGAAATCCATTATTTTTCCAATAGATGGCTTTAGTAATCTGTATCTCGTCTACGCATAATATAAAAAAGATAGTATAATATATACATATAGATTATATATAGATTATGACATACGAAAGAAACTCTTTCTTTACCTTCATTGAAAGATTGCGTTCTATGAATACTTCATCATTCTGCAGATCATCAAGTCTCTTTGTCTTCTTACTGCTGGAACCAATGTCACGTTGTGTACTGTTGCTGCCACAAGTCGGATTCTTGCCAACTATTCTCAGATATGGTATCTGTGTTTTCCACTGCGTACACTCGTCCAAAATAGAATCTTTAAGCATCTGAGTGTCCTCCTCATAGAAGGTCCTCTCCACGGCAGTCCATTGCTCCTCTAATTTCTGAGTTACCACATTCTCCATCTCCTGCGACCATGAAACAGATGTTGCCGCGCTGTTGCTACTGGACAGGGTATCATCGTCTTTTAACGCTTTCTGCCGTGGCAAACTAGGTAGTCGGAAACGACCGTCCCATTCGTCGTTGCAGCCATCCTCCTCGTCCTTAAGTCGCAGCAGGTGTTGGGAAGCTTTTATCTTCTGCGTCAGTGGGCTGATCCTACAAAACGAATAATTCTCAACAATTTCAATAATTAACAATTACTTAATAATCATGAGATAATTTCTTAAAATTGTGTAAAATAAATAAACAAACTTACGTGCTTCTGCTGATGTTGTTTCTTCGCATTTCATGCTTTCCCCGAGGGTCTTCGCCATCAACAAGAACCAAACGGCGACGGTCCCGTCGCGAAGATACTGCAACCCGCGTGTTTTTGATGTGAGAAAGGGAGAGGAGAAATACTTACTGACTCTCTTCCAATTTCTGACGTTCGTAACGTCCTCGACTGGGACCTTTCAGGGCTTTCAGCGGAGCGGTCGCGTTGCCGCCACGCCTATTTTTACCATTCATAATTTCTGTTTTACACCTCACGCGAGCCTACTAATCCTACTATCGATCCCGTGCTCGAATCGTGATTGAAATCTGAAATATTGACCATGATATAACTCACGACGAGGTTCGCTCCACCTTTCTGCGCATGATATCACATGATATGCTATCTTACTGAGAGTTGTGAAGGCTACAGAAAATCCTTATTCAGCTGAGACACGAACCCACGTCGATGATACAAATCTCCACTAACATAAAAGGAAAAGGATAATTTATTTTTGACAGTAAATTGTTTCTGTAACTTACAAGAAGACGATTGTGTATCTTAAAATGAGATAAAAATTACAAAAGTTAACAAATATACTACGTGTTGATCAATAAAATTATAAATATTTAAGTGAATTTGCTCACTTTTGTAATTTTCACCTCGTTTCAAGCTACACACACACACACACACACACGTATATCCACGATATTCACTATGTATACACATAATGTATCCTCCCCCTCTCTCATTTTTTAATTTAATCAATTATTTTTCAACTGAAATTATACTTTCTGTTTACAAAAAAAAAATTATAAAAGCATTTTGTGCAGATATATTCGTGAAAAATTAATGTAACAATATTATTTCTCGATATGCAAATAAAATTACACTGATATATAATCAGCAAATGATATATAATCTGGAATCGATTGTGCATCTCAAAATAAGATAAAAATTACAAAAGTGAACAATTTACTCGAATTTTATAATTTCATTGGTCAACATCTAGTGAATTTACTCAGTTTTTTCATTTTCATCTCGTTTCAAAATATACAATCGATCCCCTGATTGCTTTACATATGTTGATCAACATGATTTTTATTCATCATCCCTGTATGCATCGTGTAAAAATATAATTAGTTATAATTCGTTGTCAACAGGTTGATATTATAGATTCTTATATTTAAGGCTATCTTAAGTATAGTTTGAAGATGTCATAAACCTATCACAGTCGTATTAACATCTTAAGACATATTACTTAAAACAGTCCTAAATTAAGAATCGATTACTCACCGCTCATAGCTGAGCTACATGCATACCTTTATATTCTCGGATTAAAACCGATTAAAAACGCTACGTAAATAAACGATGATCATCTCATTTGTAATTGCTATAATAATATCAGTTGTATTATTTAATTTCATTATTAATAATAGTTACATTGTTGCATCAATATCGATTCTCTTATAATTAACTCAATTATAATTCATTTTTGACTCTTAAATAGAGAAATCTAAGTTAATAATTTTAATATGTTGATTGAAACCAGTGCACACGTGATAATTATTTTGATTTATATATACTATATGCTGCAATATAATTATGATGGATTGAATTCTCGAATTGATATTCACTAGTAACAGGTCTTCTTAGCCTTAAGTTTTACTAAAGATCGCTTTGGTTCACACGCACCAGCTTAAGTTAAAAATGTCATTTCGAACACTGGAATAAATGTGCTCTAAATATCGCATAAAAGATTTTATTATTTAACTGACTAATATCACCAATTGATATCCGATTGCATCCAATTGATATCCTTCTAGGAAATGTAATTAGTATCAAGAGCAAACTTAACAAAGTCTTCTTCCATAATAACAATTATTCACATTGTCTATACGTATATACTGATCTTATAAAAAGAAATATTCATTACATTATATTCGATGTGAGACGTAACATTTAACTAGATTGGCGCATTGCGATCGAACGATCGCGCATGATAATGAAAAACAACAGAATTTCAATGAACTGTTTGTACAATTTGCGTAATGATAGTATTTGTTATATCACGGTGACCAGATCTGATAATGTTTTATTGGACAATACGTTAAGAGTGTTAAAATATCAGCAGAGCTAATCTATCTCGTCTTATTGTTTATATATGTAAAAATTATCAAAGTTCATTTAAGTAATTGTACAGATATGACAAAAATTATTATACAATTGTAATAAAATTAGTTATAAAATAATTTTATGATTGTAGATGGATAACTGATTAGCATTCTTGATGAGATAGGCAGAGATGCTACATACGAATAATGTAAATATGTACAGAAACTCGATAAATACATTTCAAGACTATGAAATAGCGAAGGACAATTCCTGACCATGAGTTAACGAATGCTTTTACTAAATATGAAATAATTTGTATATATTTATTATTATGTATATATTTATTTAAATTGTAAACAGTGCAAAAAATATGACAAAAAAATCCCACGTGTTATCGAGTCTCTCTACATTTCTTTCAAAAAAAATTTAAATAAAACCAGTTCTTTCGAAAACCAGACATAAATATATAACTAATTTAAATATTTAATTTTAAATGTTCTATTTTAAATTCTCTATTTTATCTACAAAAAACAAAAATATGGAAAATAAGTCGTACATATTTAAATACTTCGTATAAATTTTAAAAAGGCTCTGTCTTTACATAATGCTGGCTATCGAATGTAATTTAACTATAATTATTCTATTCGGCAGGATATGATGACGGAATAAAACTTATCGAATGAAGATAGAGAAAATGAGATACGATTTGACTGAATGTCATTATACTACCGTTCCGTTATTTTAATGAATCAAGCATCAAGCTCTGGCCCTCGCACTTTAAAAAATTCTTCTGTATATTTTTCTATGATACAATTAATATAGCTCAACTCCAAACATCACTAGAGTATCGTTTTTGTGACTCCAACTTCTTGATATAATTTGCAGCATCAAGTTCTGACATATTGCCACGTTCCATCACCACTTTGAGCAATATATTGTGCACATCGCGAGCCATGTTTCTTGCATCCCTAAGAACATACATCATTTACATATAAAAATTTTAATATAAATTTTTTTTATATATATAATAATAGATTCTTTAAACTAACCCGCAAACATAAATATGTCCGTTTTGTTCACCGATGACACGCCATATTTCCTCCTTGTTCTTCTCAAGTAAATGTGTGACGTAGACTTTGTGCGGTTGTTCCCGGCTGAACGCGGTGTGCAATGTTAAAGTGCCGTCCTTCACATACTGCTCTAATTCTTCACGATAAAGATAATCCTCTTGGCTTTTTCTGCATCCAAAGTACAATATTGTGTCGCTTGTCTCTTTACCTGGAATTAAGATTTAAATATTGATACACTCTACTGATGGGGAGAATATGTTATGAGATATCGAAAGCGAAAGCTACCTTCTTTCCTAGCAAAAGCTCGTTCTTGTATAAAGCCCCTGAATGGCGCTAAACCAGTTCCCGGACCAACCATGATGATGGGGATATTCAGGCGCGTTGGTAAGCGGAACTGAGATTTCCTTACAAAAATTGGGACGAGACAAGGTGGATCGGAGGGATGTTTCTCCTTCAACCAATTGGTCGTTACACCCTTGTTTATTCTGCCAATCGGAGTTTTGTACTCCACCACTACTGCCGTAATATGGATCGAAGTTGGATGAAGCTGAAATGGAAAGAATGATTTTTATACAAGTCATATTTTTTAAAAGAGAAAATCTTTTTCTTAAATTATTCTTACAATTAATTAAAAGAGATACCTTCGGAGACGAAGATATTGAGTAGTATCGACATTGTAATCGTGGCAAAATTTCGCACAGATGATCTAGAGGTGGCTTCAAGCTGGGAATATCCTCTAAAATATGCACAATATTGCGATTCTCTTGAATTATCCATTGTTGATAAGCAGTTTTGCCCTCTGCGGTGGTCGACGCCATCAGTTTTAGTTTCTCCTTATCTGCGGGATCGGTCGCGTATTCCGCTAACTCCTTGAGAATGTGTGTGCGTGGATTACTTGTAATATCTAAGTAATGTGTTAAAGCAGTCCTATAGCTGCAAGGGCAAGGGAATGGATGCTTCTTTGAGGATTCTTCTGTAAAGCGAATAGTAGATTATTTTAAAAAATGCAAACACATAAATTATTCTCACATAAAAATTGGAGAAAACAAGTAAAATTAAGAAGAGAGAAAGCAAATAAATACCGTCTGTATTCGTAAGGGTGAAAACAGTATCCAAATTCGCGCCGCATTGTTCACCAATTTTGTTTACCAGCTCTGCGTTGTTCACGGGATAGACGGCCAAATGATCACCTGTCTCGTAACGCATTTTGGAGCCTTCGATGTTGAATTCTATATGCATGCATGATCTGTCGGATGTTGGACCATGTAATTCGCGGTTCACTTTCACAGGAGCCAAGAATGGGTTTTTCGCATCATACGGCCTATAGATAAAAAAATCAAAAATTCTAAATATGGAAACCGAGATTATTTGACGCAATTCTATAGTAAATAAGAACTTACGGTCTCTGATTCACAAAGGAATGAAGCCGAGCGAGCTCTCCAGTGTAGATGCGATCGGCTGGTAGATCTACGTGTTCCGTAAGTTTGTATTGTCGAATACTGACATCCTCGCCAGCACCTTCGATGCCAAAGAACTCACAGACGGCCGGCCAAAATTTATCTTTCCACGTAATAAAGTCATCCTCTATGCTGTAACATTAAAATTAATTATTAAAAAAAAGAAATTCTAAAAAATTATTGAAATTAAGAATGAATGATAAAATATACTTGTCTTAATAATAATTAATATTATAATTAAAAAATATTAATTTTTTTATTTTAACTGTTATTTTGAATTTTTTGATTGTATTTTATTTAAATTGTAAAAATAAAGAATGGATGTGAAAAAAAGAAGTACATTTCCGTGAGAACCTACTTTGCGTCATCGTCCCCAAGGCCCAACTCGCAAACGCGCGTAGCACCCAGTTGCTCCAATCTGTGATCCACATATATTCCAATCTCATTATAGTGTTCATAGGTTTTATTACCCAGCCCGAATACCTAAAACAAATAATAATAATATTTATTGATGTGCAATTTGAAACGTGACCATAGATTTTGTTTTCTAACGATTCGAGTTCTCATCGACTTTTGAATCTCGATATCTCTCGTATCTCTCGATACCTCGTGCGATATGCGCGATATTGTAGCACGTCGCCATGCTGTAACACCGCCGGCCTGGCGACAGTGCTGCAGAGCGAGACGGAAGAATTCAGCGCATAACACTCCGATGTTCATGACTTGCAGAGTATCACGTATTCACATCCAAATGAGAGTGATAACGCGGTACTTTCACTTTTTACCAGAGAAACTGTGATTTTAAGCACCAGTATCATACAGTATCATAAACGATCGTTGAATGTGTTATATAGTATGTACATACACTATATATTATTAGACGCTCATATGTTACACAACACTTAATGGCGTGAGGAACGTGAGGGCACCACTGTGAGATGATTCTAGAATCGATTGTGACTAGGATCGATTGTGGTCAAAGTCTCGCTACAAATACTTTAAAGCGTTGATGGACCAATTAGAAGAAAGAATTTTACAAACTGATTAAAAAACGTTTCAAAGCGTTTGTAGCATCGCATTGACGTTATCCTACAACAAATACTATTTTTCACGATTACGACGCTATATGAATATGCCTCGAACTGAAGATAGATTTTACAAAAGTGAGCAAATTCATTAGAATAATTAATGAAATTATAAGTTTTCTCAATAAATTCGTTTAATATATAAAACCCTTATTTCATTGCCACGATGAATTTTTTCCATCATCTCTCAGACTTTAATTCTGTTTATTATTTGTTGTTATTTCATTATTCTTTTTTATTCGTAGAGCTTATTTTATTTGTATTGAGTTATAAATTAGAAGTCTAAAAATTGACGACTGTGATTAGTCAATTTTTGATTTCTGATTTCTAATTTATGATTAATGGCTTATTGTAGAAGGCCCATTACATCTCCTACTCCTTTTTATGTTTTCTTTTTTTTTTCTTCAGTGCTTTGTCTTGTATTTAAAATTCTTAGAGGATTTGTTCTGCAGAATTTAAAATAAACGCTCAATCAATCAATCAATCAATCAATTTGTTCTAAAAAGACTTTGAGCTCCATCCAAGTGTCATATTATTGACGATGTATATCGAAACACGGCCTAAGATAGGTACGAAAGAAAAAAAATCAAAGAAAAAAGCTCGGAAAAAGAAAAGTGTAAAAAAAAGAAAGAGAAATAGAAATAAAAATAAGGAAGAGGAAGGCAATCGTTCGTATCCTTGAGTTATATCCGCGTGTGGATTATCATTATTATTATTATCATTACTATAATTATTATTATATATATATATATATATAATATATATAAAGCATTGCATGTATTATGGAAACTGTAATGAATACTTGAACAATACACGCAGCCTGCTGAAGGATAAAGTAATTTAGATTAATTGATAGCGATTGTGACGTACCGCTCGTTATACAGAAATGATCACGTATGTACGCATACATACCGCATAATTTAATCCTGTGAGATCACCGTCACCGTTCTTGAGCCACTCAATGTACTCCATCGCGTTATCGGTGGGATCGCCCTCTCCATATGTGGCCAAACAAAACACTGCCAAACTGTTTGGAATAGTTTTCAAGTGTATCAACTCCTCCTGTAAAAAAGAAAAATATTTCTAATTTCACGCTAATTGTTTTCGTCGTAAATAATATATCGTTTTTCGCAGAAAGGTCGAGGTCAACAAAGCAAGATTATCAGTGTGTATTTCTACACGTGCCAGAAATGTATACACTAATAACAAGAATTTTTCAATTGGCTTGATAATATCGGTCAAGAAGTGCATCTTGGAATAAAGATCTTCGTACGTAGATGTTCGTGCGTAGATGTTTGTGATTTAAATCGCTTTCGAAAAAAGATTCTTTCCCGCTCTTTTTTTTCTATGAATTTAAAAATTTGTGTAATAAATTGCTGTAGCGATTCATATACCATGTCGCATTCCTCGGGGTCGGCCACCATGCCTTTCATCTTGTATCTGATACCCTCTTTGGCGAGACGACCAGCGAATTCTTCAGCAGTACCTGTTTGGCTACCATAGAATACGACTAAACTTCGCCCAGACGACTTCAGTTTTTTGATAAAGGAATTCTCCGATGGTGGTACCGCGGCGAATGACGTCGGTCTGCAATGATTGAAGAATCATAGTTCAGTAGCGTATTACAATGTCAGATATCCTTGGATGTGTGTTTAAGAAGGATTTCTTTTAAGAACAGTTTACAATAAAGATAGTAAGCCTTAAGCCATCTCTTGAAAACGTTTTACAGAATCTCATTCTAAAAAGTAAATCTCACTTTTAAAGATTGAAATCTGAGCCATTCTTTTTCAAGACTCAATTATCACTCTTTAAAGTGAGATTCCAAAAAATATAAAGAGTAGGGGAGTCTGGAATAGTTCCGGAATCACTTCAAATATTCATTCATATTTCAGGCCAAGCAGTTATAAAAATATATGCGATATATGGATCATGACATTTTGACTTCATTTCTCGAAATATGATAAATAATTGGCGGCTTGATAACCACTTGATACGAAATTTGAGAAATTTGAGAAATTTGAGAAGTTCTTCCATATGGTCAAGTATCTCTCGGACTTCCCCTAAATTAAATCGAAATTAAAGTTACTCTTACATTAGTAAAACCGATCCTTAATATTATTAATTTCGGTTTAACTAAATTTTTTCCTTCAGAGAAAATTATTTTAACTACTTAACAGATAATATAACTTCATTGGAATCTATCAAGATTCATCTTTTATGGAAACATTTGATCACATAATCATGTATCTAAGGCACTTAAGGAAAAAAATAATTACTGGATAGAGTAGGATTTTGTTGTTGGCGTGAGTTCTTCCCGCTTTTTTCTTTTCAAGAGCCACCATGCTGCCGCTAAGAAGAGACCAACAACCAGTGCTATGTCCAGAATGCTGAAAAATGACTCATCATGTGCTTCTGGCCCGCTTTCGCTCTGAGCTGATCCTGCCATTCTTATAGCCTTCGGTTGCGATGCGTCCACAGTCTACCAGAGATTTAACACAAACCAACTTATTAATTGATTAATCTTGGTAGAATCGACTTCTCGGATATAAACTCTACGAGACTCCCATATCTGTCGAAAATTATGTCGTTTGCGATGAAAGTAAAAAAAAATTCGCTACTTCAATTTATCTTATCATTCTTGAAAAATTCACAACATATTGTAATTAACAAATATAATCTCTTATTATTAATGCAGAATATGTAATTAAATATATTAGATGCGCAACTAATAATTGATGACGATAATCTAAGGATGAACGATATGCATATCGCCTATCTTTAATATAATCAGAGAGTCTCTGAAGTCTAGCCAAAGTTCAAAATGTTTATATTCCACAAACATATGACATGCTAACAAATTTTAAAAATCATTAAAGTTCTTGAACTCATTATAATAAAAATGATTAAAATGTCTGAAAAAATCTATCACACACTCCAAGTAGATGCAGAGAATTCGATTTTTATTCTCTCGTTTTTATCAAAGTTGAATGTCAGAAGATCAACTTTGCACAAGTTACGGATGAATTTATTTAAATGGTATTTAAATGGAAATACATTTACAGCACGTCGTTCGCGTTCAAAATTCTATGTAATTCAAATTTTTCCTTTTCCCCTCCAAATCCTCATTCTTAATGCTAATAAGTCTCATGAAATACATGATAAACAGTAATTTCCTTTCACAAGCTTTTGCTCATGATCGACATCCGTCAGTCATTGTTTCGAACGTCAAAATTTTCATATTTGAGTTGTGTTAATCGATTGCGTCTTGTAAAAAAAATCCGTGTAGAACTAATAAAAATTCAATCAGAGAAAATACTTATTATCGGTTTGGAAATAAATTATGTTTTTGAGTGACAGGTTAATCGCACGAATACTAATTGCTTTAGAAAAGGGATACTTATCGGGGCAGTGCACTTGATACTTTTGTCGCTCTATAGTAACAAAGAAAAGTGAATGACTTACTCAATAGGAGAATTGTTCTTGAGTACAAAGTTCTGCGTCGTGAAAAATATTATTACAATCGTTCAGAAGCAAAGTATCGAGATACTTCCGTGCTGGCGACTAAACTGACGTTTACTAACTCGTCACTTACTTATTACTATATTATATGAAAAATGACCAGTTCACGTTGTTGACGATCAACAGTGGAATGATTCCGAATCTCGAATCACATTCTCTGAACTCTGTACATACTGTATGTCATTCGCCTGAGATTCGACAGATATCATTATCAGCATGCAGGATCGCGATTATGTCGATAACGATAATAAAGCTTCATTCGTAGATATTACTCTGCATGTTCTGCAGATTTTGTTCTCTTGAAAGCGTGATATTATTTTGTCATTCTGACATAAGGAAAACACTTATTATTATACAGCGCGCTGCAAATGCACAAAAAATCAGAACTTACATAATTATTGTGTCATTGCGGGCTTAACAGCTTATGTAATACAAGTGAGATCCATTAGATCCACGATTTTAGATCTTACCGCGCTCATCGCGAAAGCATAAAATTATTTTACATTTGTCCGAGTGCGGGCGTATAGAAAGAGCTTGAAACAATGTTCTATTGTATGTATGTTAATACTTGCATGTATTATTACATATCTATTTGCCTGCTTTAGTCGCTTTATCTTAGATTTATTCCGTTCGCAATTTACTTGACCATCTAAAAGTGTCACGATGACTTCTAAAAATCGTCCCAAATGAGGAAAAAGTCACATAATTTAAGTCAACTTAGTTTATTCATAGATCTTCATTATATATTGCAAGGATTTAAAGAAATATAAGCACGCTCTCAATTAAAAATTTTTTGATGAAAAATTTTCATTTCGAATTATGAGTATTTAAAATTCATTTGCGATAGACAATATTTATATTCGGCGTTACAAATTTTAAATACTCATAATCTGTTGATTAATATATTAGTATTTTATAAGCGTTTACCGAAAGCTAATCGTTTTAACACAGGTAAGCTATTGGTTAAATATCTGTAAACTTTTTGTGGCCAGCCGGAAAGGACGATTTTGTTGAAAATATAACTTTTTTATGATTATTAATGAAAACCAAAAATTATTATAATAATGACGCTGTACTCAAGAAAAGATTGATACATTGAAATGAAGTTAATGAAATCCTTATTCACATCGTTACGAAATCACTGCATGAGAGTTGGATTAACAGAGTTGAATCAACGAACAGTTGAATCAAGAACTCTGAAATTAATTTTTAAATTATTGAAGCATAACTGATTCCACAATGATTTCATCATATAACAATGTTTTATTAATTTCAGTTATATAAATGTATCAATGTGCGTGTATAAATTGATCTTTTTTTTCTTGAGTAACGTCATTATTACGATCATTTTCAACTTCCGTGAAGAAAAATACATAATTAAACGATTCCGGAATGATCGCGAAAAAGTGAAAGTTGTATCTAATTCCTTTAATTAGATACAGATCTGAAAATAATTTTATCGGTCATGATCATATTAAAATAATTTATGACGCTGAAACTCTCGAGTTATTAGAATTGATAACTTATCACAGTATTACTTATCTTGAGATTCCCACATAATTATTTTAATAATCTACCAAAATTATTTTCGGATCTGTATCTAGCGAAATTTTTAGATAATTTAACGAAATTATTTTTTTCATCCAAAAATATAAAATTATATTCTCTATTTTATGCAAGTGAATAAATTATGTCGAAAAAAATATTTTATCCATGCATTTTATTTATTTCTAAAAAATGATTTCCTGAAAATAACTCTTAAAAAAGTTACTTATGCATTAGTGTACGTAAAGAAACCATGAAAAAACCTGTATTCAAAATCGAATTAAAATGTGTCAAAAGATGGCTTTTTCACGACGTGTCAGAAGTGTGATTTTTATTGCACATCGCATTTGTGAGCGCAATGTATTCGCATTAATGAGTAACATCAAGGAAAATTACGTAACTTTTTTCTAAGAAGCAGCAGACATTTGCAAAGTTAATAAAGAGTTTGTCTATTCTTTTTTGTAAACACTTAATATTCAACGTATAATTTTCGAATACAAGTAACCAATAATTATAGATAACTTATCGCTGAAAAAGAAAAACTAAAAATAGCTATGTGCTGGAAAATGAAACTAGAAAATGAATCTTATTTTTAACGTTGGTTTTCAATTATTATGTATTACTTATCATTTATGGCAATCATGTCTTATAAATATTATATCTGTTACTACAATTTCAAATAGTAACAGGCTCTATATTCATCAGAAAATATTATTTTCGACCTGGAAAATTAACCTGGAAAATTTTCAGGTTTGTATATACTCATGATATACGTCAATAACACTCTCCTTATTCATCCAATTTCGCTGTTTATCTTTGATTAAATTTATCTAATTAACAATTTATTTTTCAGACAAAACATGTCAACTTGTTTGATTCAAATCATGAAAAACCGAAAAGTGAAAGAGACGCTTAGATGCTTGAATTGCATTATTCGATGACTCAATATTAAACAATTGCTATTGTTTAATAACGAATTCTGAACTCTGAAGTACATATTAAAACCATTGTAATGGCTTCGATTCATCTGCATGTAAAAATAAAATACAAATATTTTTTAATTTAAAATATTTTACTGAATAATAAACTGTATGCACAATAAACTGTAGTGATTTAACTTATTTTTATATTAAATATACTCTTTTAAAGTTTTAGAATGAATTGTCACTCTGAAGAGTGCGAAATCTGAGAAAACTCTTAAAAAACTGAAAATTATGTCACTCTTTTTCAAGGCTGGTTTAACTTTCACTCTTCAAAATGAGATTCCACTACAAACATTTTAGAGAATATCTTTCAATTTATGTACGACGTCTTTAATATGCATCAGTGGACACTCAGTATATCCAATCGAATTCGTTATAAGGCATCTGATTAGTTCCTACATTATCTTTTGTGTCTCTGATTTCACATATGCAAACTAAGTAGATACTTACATGGTAACTGAATCGTATTGAATTTCAAACAGAATAACATATTTCATTTGGATGGGAATTTGACCACATTATGAATGACAAGCCATTTGCAATGCTCGTTCAGTGGAAAAATTCTAGTTCGTGAGTGATTGTAGTCAATTACAATGTGACAAACGGGATCATTTATCATTTATGTACTTTGTAATAGATTTGAATTATTTCTTCAAATTAAATCATTAAATGAAATAAATTCTATAAATTCTTAAAAATACTATAAATAATAAATTTTTATTAATTATAAATTATAAAATTTTATAAGTTATATAACTCTTTCACCTACAATATCGTGATGAAAAATTCGGGTCAAACATAAAAATCACAAATGAGGATCGTGATATGTTTTTTCAGTATAAACATAAGAAAACATGAATCAGGTTCGTGGTACATAAATTAAATCGAATAGCTAAGTGGCTCGACGCGTGATTGACTTTGTTATAACATTGACATTGTGGGGAACGCATCGTCGGGACTAATCATAGTCCAAGAAGTTAGTACTCACAGAAAGAAAAAAATTTGCTATAAACTCAAAAAAGTTACAAAATGTAATTGTCAAATTTATTTACTGTTTATATCAACAATCAAATTTGATTCAAACAATTTGATAAATATTTTGCATTTATTGCAAGTAATTTTTATAGCGAGTACAAAAAAGAATAAATGTAAACTTGTTACATCTGCAATAATTTGCATTTTGCTATATGCGCAAAATTTTACCGTTATAAGATATCGTTTAGTAAATTTATTCTCTTTGTGCTTGAGAAGAATAACCGAGTATACTTTTGGAAAAAGAATGATTTTATTGAAACATCTAAAAATGCAGTATCTAATTTTTAGATATTTCAATAAAATCATTTTTCAATTTTACTTACAGAAAACTTATAGCATTAAAAAATCTTTTACTCTATTTAACGTAGATATGTCTAAAAGATTGTCTCAACGTGCACTGTCAAAGAAACAATGATAAATACCCAATCCTTATAGAGTTTTATTACTTTAAAATTCATGTATATCAAAATAAATAACGTCCTTGTCAACATATATATTTAATAAACTAAATTTTAATCAAATTTAATACATTTACATACTTGACATACATTTGCTAAATGAAGTAATTTATAATAATAAATAACAATAAAATTAAGGCTAATGAAAGTCAATGCGGAAATAAGTGCGCATAAGTATTAATTCATGTAAAAAATACTTCAAAATAATATGCAGCTTTATTACGAAATTTTGAAAAAAGTTAACGTTTTGAAACATCTCTATGTTCGCAAACAGTTATTTATTATTTTATCAATTTTTATTTTTTTATTTATTCTTTAAATAACAGTATTATTTATTATTTTTAAGTTCGAGAGTCCGATTTAAATTATTTTTTTGTTTTTAACTTTATAATTTTAGTAGTTTTGAATTAATAACATACTGAATAGGAACAGTAGCGATCTATAAAAATGATTGAAAATAACTCAAATTATAAGTATAATTTGCATGTGAATTTAATAGCGTGATAAAGCATGTCGCGATCTATACGTGATCTGCTCAGAGTTCACAATTCCTACAAAGATTTCCCACGGCCTCACAATTTATCTTCTCGTATATCTTCTCGTGCCCATCGCTTATACAAGCGATATATTTACGATACGATTATTCGATTTCCTTACCGATATATCCATGTTGTATGTTGTACACACGAAGGAGCATGGAATAAAATTCGCAGGAGATGTGCACGTGGTATCGCGCAACGTTTAAGCGATTACGCGCGCGAACTTGCCACGACGACGATCAGTATGCAACTGAAAACGCGCAGAGACTTGATTACGGAGAACTGGCGGGACACGATTATATTTATACAATATAAGCGTCATAAATAGTTATAGCCGTCACGATTGCGATGAGATATTGTAATAAAGTAGCAAGTCATCTGACGTCTAATCAAACGTTCGGTGTAACTATATATGTATATACTACGCGTATATACTCTGCCCGAAAAATACTTTTCTTCATGCAAGTAACAAAATTCGAAATCTGAAAATCCTAATCGCTCAGGAATCTTCTCTCCCTCACGTGAAAAACACTTTCCCTATTACATGTTCTCTTGACTGCATCGTCCATTAGCAACACACGGACAGTATATCGTTTTTCCATGGCTGGTGATAAACTCATTCGGTGTACCATTGTGTTTCCTGTAGTGGTTAAGATGTAGTGCAAATTTTATGCACGAAGTGGGATTTTGACTCAAAGGGACGGTGTAGAGCCCAGTGTGACATTTAAAATTTGAAAATGGTTAATAATGAAATAGTGTACACTGTGATGTGCACTGGTATCATAGCCATATAGCGTTTTCGACCCAATCGAGTTTGCGCTAATCTGGATTGAAGTAATGATGTCTCGTGCTCTCCTATTGGTAGAGCGTATAACGTCAACCAATAGCGAAGCATTTTCTAATCTAAGTTTGCAAATCGGTATAATAAAGCCTGTTCTACAATGTGCTTTTTGTTTCCTGTTTCTTGCCTTTTGTTATTTTTTACATCTTATCTTTTTACTTCTTATCTGGTTTTTTGTTTTATATCGCCCGAGATAAAAATTAATGAACTTCGAAAGAAACAAGAAATACGTAGCAAAAAATACAATTGTTAATAAAACGGTTGCAAAGGAGAAAAAACATTGTAGAATAGGCTTAAGAATAGACCGAGCGTGAAGTTTGAAACGTGAAGACTAGGTAGAAAAGGACGGATGCCGTGTAGCTTTCTCTTTGTTTGAAGGCAGGGGGGGGGTAAGGTGTAAATATCTTGCTGTCCTTTTTTACCTGATCTTCACGTCAGAGGACACGTTCGGTCTATATTTCTTATTGGTGCTTTCCAGCAAAGACAGTCAGACACAGTGTAACACAGTGAATTATTACATTCTTGTTTACCTACATTAAACCAAGGATGAAACGATTCTCTGTGTCTGATTGTGTCCTTGCGAGAAAGCATCCTATGTCTATGGTGTATACCACTCTAGTGGCTGAATGTAGCATTTACACGCAACTGCGATGCGAGGCTGCATCCAGTGTATCTCAAGAGAAAACACACACTATAGTATATGTACGAAAATGATTTGTCCAACATCAATCTTAAGTCTCTGCCGATAATGTCAGATTTTCACCTTCGTCTGTACGATAAGAAAAATATTCTTTATCGCTAACAATAAGAAAAATGATTGCTCAATTTACTTTCTTCTTTTTAAGTAATGGTTGTCTTTAACAAAGATATTTTTTTTCACAATAATTTTTAAAAAAATATACCTTACAAATTTTAGAAAAAAATCATTATATATTTAAAACAAGATTTTCTTTTAAAAAATATTATAAAATTGATGAAAGAAGCGACTTTATAGTAAGCAAATTGAATTTGTTTTAATTGAATAATCTTCTATCATAGAAGCTGAGCTATATTTTTTACAGATTTAAATTTATTTAGCAGAATTCACAATAAAAAAATCGACTGTGCCTTTAAAATTTAACATTGTTGGTAGAGGATTAAAATCAGTCGTTTTTATATTGATGAATTTATATTTATGAAAATATTATAGATAGACTTGTATTCTGATTATTCTCACTGATACTACAGTTGATTAACATTTATGTGTGCGAGCTCTATGCAAATTCAAACGGAAACTCGAATAAAAAGCCTATACTAGGTCTTTGCGATGAATGACATGAGTCAAGAATCATCAACGTATAATACAGTCAACTGGACATTTTCGTTACATAGAAAGATAGATGTCATCAATCGTCACTCACAAACGTTTAATGGCACCTCGATCCTAATTGCAACCAATATCACTTTCTTATAAAGAATTCAGTTGGATACGCTAATGTGTATTAATTAATATATATTGCCATTGTACACTAATTTAATTTGATAATGAGTGTAAAAGTGAAATGCAAATCCAATAATTAAAGGAAAAGACCTATAAATGCAATTAGATATATGTACAAATTCTTATATGTACATTATATATATAATAATAATAATTAGATAATGTTCATAGAAATGACATTTCTATGTACATATATTTTACATACTATATACATATGTTTTATATCTTTTTAGCTCTTTAAACTGCGTACTGATTACTACTGGACTTGCAACTTGATCATAAACTGAAATAACGATTTGAAATATAATCTCACAAATCAAATTTGATGATAACGCTATAAACAACTTAGTATTTGTAAACAGATATTAAATTTCTAATACTATTATCAGAATTAATGGTACATATTTGTGAGATCATTATTTCAGATTTTGAAACTGCGTTGTAAGTCTGTAATATATTTATAATTATTTGATTTCTGTTTACAAATGTCACTTTTATTAATAAATGTGCATTTAATATATGTTCATAAATTTGGCATAATTTTTTAGATGTTTTCTTATGCTCCAAATTTTTATAGCGTTACGATAAATATTGTAAAAAGTATAATCGCGCAATTAATTACAATATACTACCGAAATTAATTATAATATAATTTAAATAAAAAATAAAAATCGTAAAAAATATGTTTTTAAATGACAATTCCATCAGAAATATGCGATTAAAATGCAAATAACCACTTCTACACTAATTATAATTCATGTCGAGACGAAGAGATTACGTAGTATCATTTTTATGAGCAAAAAATTGCGCTTGATCTCGGAATCACCGGATTCACGGCGTCTTCGAAAACAGCGGTGTATGTAGATAGATTTACATTGTAATTGCGGTCGAGAAAGTGAAAGCCAATGAGAGGAGATCGGTGAAAAAAGACACGCACTCGCGCTAATGTAACTACGTGATTAAATGGTTTTTGTTATCAATCTGATGTCGTCGATAAAAAAAATTGTCCATTATTTCCTAACGGCATCCGAATCACACATTTAAAAGATAATTTTACTCTAAGCAAAATTTCAACACTTTTCGTTTTCATTCTGACAAACAAAAAAAAAGTCGTGTGTATTATCTTTTCATTGACGTTAAAACGGAGTTTATATAGTTATGTATATGTAGACAGATGTATATATATTTCCGTTGACAAATTAACCTATCTATACAATCAGCAGAAAATACATATACAGAGTGTCCCAAAACTAATAAGAAATATTTTACAGATAATTTCTTCATAATATTTCAAGATAAATAAAATTTCAAGATAATAAATAAGATAAACAAAAAGTTTAAAACTGAAACGACGAGGTTGCGACAGCTTTCAAATGGAAAGAGTTTAAAAATTACAAATAACAAGAGCTAAAATTTTATGCGCAGAAATGACAAGATAGTCAATGTGAAAGTGCATTCTTGAACTTCAAAGTGCCTCTTTTAATAACAATAAAATGCTACATCTTCGCGCGCGAACAAACTGATCCATTCGCAAACAAACCGTCCTTGAGATTGAATTCACAAAATTCTAGCCTTTGTCATTCGTAAATTTAAAACCTTTTCTATTTGAAAACCGTTATAGCTTCGGCATTTTCATATTAGACTTTTCGTCTTAAAGAATTGTCTTTGATCAGTTTGAGACATCTTGTATATAGTACACACATACGATGAATAAAATATTTTATTCATCATATATTGTACACATATATATGAATAAAATATTTCTTTCTACGTTAATATGTAATATAAATAGCAATTTGGTTCGTCGAATGATAATTTAGAAAGACGGTCTGCAGCGATGAATGTTAGCTACAAGGTCACTTTTTTAAACACGTCCGGCGATATACTATCCATCTGTATATACGTCAAGTATCTAATCTACAGCGATTGTAACAGTAGAGATATGATTACTTTGTCGTATCATACACGTATACTGTTAAAGCGTAATTTTACGTGCAATTTCGACGAATTTCTTCGTTAGTTACACATTAAGCATATTTAAATATTAAATGACATTTAAGTGACAATATCGCATTAAACAAATACAATATATCGAACTCTCGATTGTTTTTCATGATGAGTTTATTGAACGTTTCCATGCGTTTCGCTCTTTAGGCCACCATGAACGGGATCATGAGTTATTCATCAGAATTTTGTTAATAATTCACAAATATCCACATTCCGATAATTTATTCACTGTTCATATTAATGGCGTTAATAGATTGGGACAATTTTAATCATAAATGTATGCTGATTATGATGTCTCTTCACGCATTATCAGCCTTCTTTCTACTACAGAAACCGACAGGCGAGTTATAATCATTAATTGAACTTTAAATTTTTTTATAACTAAAAACATTAAATATAATAGTAATGCATCCAAATATTAAAACAATAGTCAGTTGATTAAAATTCATGTTTACATTTGTCACAGTTACCAGAAAGGAAATTATAATTGAAAAAAAAGATAAAAGAGGTTGCTAACTAAATAGCGAGGCAAATTCATTCTTTTAAATTTTGTGGTTTTGATTTTAAATTTCTTTGGCATAAACAACAATTATGGCAAGCGAACCTGAAAAGACTGATGAAACTGAAGAAGCAGTAGTACATATAGAAGTAAATGTTCTTTACATATTTATATTAGAAGAATTACGAGATATTTTCTTTAATAGTATTTCTTTAATAAATCAGGATACAAACTTGCATATTCTATATGCAAAGTCTCTAATTTTAGTAAATCATGCAAAAGAAAAAAAACATACATTTTTTAATTTCTTTTTTATCTCATCTTTTTTTTCTTTTTTTTTCTCTTTTTTTCTCTTTCAGGAGATTTTTTTATTAAAACGTAGCAATTAAAAGTGACTGTTTCGTGTTCAGATTTTAGAAGTTCTCTAATTCATAGCGATCTGTACATTAGTT